TTATAATAAAAAATTGAATTAAAAAATTACACAAAAAATGAGGAATTTTAAATAGTTAATTTGATACGAATATCGATATATTTTTGTTATGCATAAAATACTGTATATTGATGCGAATAAAATGACATAAAGCCATATTATAACATCGACTGAGATAAAGAATAAAATGAAACATTAAAATCACGATGTATCTCGCTGCATTGCACGTGTATGCTTCTAGTATATATATAGAGAGAGAGGGAGAGGGAGGGAGGTTCAACTTGAAAACCCTACAGAAAATGAAAAACAGAGGAACACTCCGGTAACCATTCATTTGGATGGTATGCACATGTGCACACAAGTAATTGAAGCTATTTCTTGGTTTTTGTGCACGTGTGCATACGGGACAAATTTGTTATACATTACTTGTATGCACATGTGCATACTATCCAGGTGAATGGTCCAAGGAGTTTCTCGGTTTTTCATTTTTCTTAACCACAAGGGTGGTGCCTGATTGGTTTGAGCTTGGCTCCAAAGGTCAGAAGTATCATGAGGTCTCAGGTTCAAATCCAAGGAGGAATAAAAATCCCCTTGTGGCCATGAAGGTTCAAATGCGGTGACTCCAGGCTATCTGCAAAGCAGGTGGTCGCCCTGAGATTAGTCGGCTCACATAGCGGGTTGGATATCCAGGTTAATAAAGAAAATGTGAAACTACAGGGTTGATTACCAATAAAGGTATCATAGTTCACATAATCTCTTCACGATTTGACTATTTCTTATGGATATTCACTGTTTTTTTCAGCCCTTTTCTCTACAAAGTAATTCACTCTTCGGCAGTCATGCTACTCCCATGAATTCTACGGCTTTCGGCCCTGTTGGCATTGGTGCTGTTCCAAGACACATAAATGTTCATATCCATGCAGGTATGTACATACAACTTCTTGAACTTGCCTATTTGTAGTGTTTATCACCAACTTCGGTTTTTTCTAGGAATCGGTCCAAGGGGAGCTAATGTTGAACCAAATCAAGGAGAAGATGGTAATGGAACAGGTAACATTACTGCTATTGCTGTCATCAAGAACTAGTATTTCTGCATCATGACTAACGTCTGACAGATTTCATTATCTATGTTCATAGCTGCTGATGGAGTTAATTTGCAAACGAGGGGGGTTGATGATAGCACGAGGAGTGAAAATCAAACCTCTGCAGGTATGCCTTATTGTGTTTAGTTGATGAAAGTCATACTTCTGCATGTATGTGTTAGTGTGATAGCTTGTAGATGCTTTGGTATGTGATAATTGTTCTATTTTGTTAATCTAGGTCAACCACAAGGAGGTGTGATTAAAACGGAGGGTCAGGCGGTATGTTTTATGCTTCTTTTTTCTTATTATCGTCTAGAGTACTGGGAGTTTAGGGTGCGTTTGGTACACAGGACAACTGAACCGGGACACTATTTCACGTTTGATAGTACTTTTATGTGGAACTGACAGGAACAAAGTCGAACACGCCCGTTTCACCCCCACCCCATGGAACAAGGTGGAACAAATCTATATTTTACCAGTATAATCTCAAAATAAAACCTAATTCTCTTCTAAAACATCAAATTACGCCTCCCACTTTACATTTTATTTATTCTTTAAATTTCATTTATTGTATTTCATACTCTTTGAACTTTCACTTTACTTTCCTCAAAATATTACTTTTATACGGTTTCTATATTTTGCTTAGTTTATGTAATTTATTAAATATTAATAATAAAAAGATAATATAGAAAAGGTTAAAAATAAAAATTGGAAACTATATAAAACTTTTATTTTGGTGTCATTTTAATTGTCTCTGACGAAAACTTTTCTAATGATGTATTTCGTTAAAAAATATTTATTTTATTATAATTTAATAAATTACATGAATTAATCAAAGTATTTAAACAACTCATTAGGGGCAAATTGGTCATTTTATCTGTTTTGTCCCGTCCAATATTGTCTTATCAAACGCTTGAGTGTCTGAACAGCTGTCCTGTCCTTCCTGTCTGGATACCAAATGCGCCGTTATAGACATCACCAGAGCAATAGTTCCACTAACCTAGTATTGAGCAGGATACAGGAGGTGCAGGAAATGCCATCCCGAGCAGCAGCGCAACGAAGTCTGTAAATGATGTAGAAGGTGCTTCATCGAGTCCGGTGATTGATAACTCCGGAAATGCTTCAGCTGTTCCTCTTGGACTTGGCTTAGGAGGGTTACAACCCAAGGTCTGTTATATATTGTTCCATGGTCTATGACTCTATGTTAATGATTATTCTTGTATTAGAACGTCGCCATATGTGTCGGCTTGATTGACTTATTTTGAACTAGATGATTAAAAACCAAACCAAATGATCCCAATATATCTCACATGGGTGTTAGTTGGGGTGGGAAATACGCAGACCTGACCTCTACCACTAGGAGTAGAGCAACTTTTTCCGTGAAGACCCTTAGTTTGTGAAGAGAGAGAACAAAAAAAGATTGCTAAAAATGTATCAAGATTTTTGAAAAAATTAAAATAAAACGAAAGAAACGACCATGAAACTAGAATCTTGAAAAGAACTAAGGGGATGTATGGTTGGTTTTCTATTAAGTCCTGTATGAATAAAATTGTTTGTGTGGATTAATCTCTCTTAATATATTGGGAAGGTTTTTGTTTTGGAAAGTTTTTTCATATATGGAATGAGCGTGTTTTTAATTGGGAGGCCATGGCAAGTTTGGTAAAAACTTAGCTTTCTGCATAAAGCTTTCCCTTAGAAACTTTCTAAATAAGCCACTTTCTATACCATTAAGTCATTACCAAACAATTATCTATAGCTGACGGGATAAGCTGTAAGTCCCATTAAGCTCATTGAGCTGCTACCAAACATGCCCCAAGGCTAGTCAAAAGCAAACAACGCCACAAAAACAGAGGCGAGTACAAGGAAACAAAGCTACACAGCCTCGTTATATTTATATATGTGATGAATTTTTGTAATGTTTTAGCATGTATAAACACGATATACATTCTTTTTTAAATATTTGATGGTTAACATTGTGCCCATGGAAAAAAAATACTTCATCTGTTCTGCAATAGGTGCAACATTTGATTGTTTCTATATATATATATATATACATATATAGAGGGCCAGGTTTAGGGGAAAACCACAAAAAATGAAAAATTAAGGAACACCTAAGTATCCATTCATCTGTACGGTATACACATGTGCATACAAGTAATTTGCAAGTAACTTTTGCAGTATGTACATGTGCATAGCATAGCATAGCATGCACATGTGCAGAGATCCCAGAAACTTCTTCAATTATTTGTATGCACATGTGCATACCGTACGGATGAGCGGTTATTAAGGTGTTCCTCTGTTTTTCATTTTTTTTGGGGTTTTCTCCTGAACCTCACACACACTCTCTCTCTCTCTCTCTATATATATATATATATATATATATATTAACTTCAAGAAAATGACTTGTTTACCCTCTACTAGGTATATAAGATACATTTAGTCCTCAACCCAAAATAAACTCAAGAGCCTTGGTGCATGACTCTTTGTTGCTATTTCAATTCTGCCATTTTCTTGCAATTGTTGTATACTAAAATTATTTATGCATGTGATATTAGAGACGAAGTCGGCAGACAAAACCCGAGGCCACTAGTAGTAATCCAGCTGCTTCTGATGCGCCTCCTTCTAATACTCGTAGTACTTCTAATCCCGCTGGTGGCCAATTGGATCCTGCAACGATCATGAATCAAGTTATTGCGAATCCCGCTCTAGATGGTCTGTTGTCTGGAGTTTCAAACCAAACCGGAATTGGATCGCCAGATATGTTGAGGAATATGTTAGGTCAACTAACTCAGAATCCTGCAATGATGAACACAGTCAATCAGATTGCTCAACAGATTGACGGTAATCAAGATCTTAGTAACATGTTTGGCGGCGGCAGCGGTGGTGGTGGTGGTGGTGGCGGTTTTGATCTCTCAAGTATGGTTCAACAGATGATGCCCTTAGTTGCCCAAGCTTTTGGTGGTGGAGTTTCGAATTCAAATGTTCTTCAACCACCACCCTCCATGGATCGTGAACTCCGTTCACATACAACCACTAACGATAACTCGAGTTATCCTCAGGTTCGTTGTCGACCCAATGAAGAAAATACCTATAACAACGTATAAAGTTTAGATCTTTATGGGATTTTTCGTTTGTAGGTAAACTTTCATGATTTGGCTGAGAAGATTGAACACCAGGAGTCACCGGAAGAAGTTTTCTTGTCTGTGGTGGAAGCTGCTGCTCATTTGAACGATAATGGTGGCAATGCGGATGGACTCCTTTCTGAGTTATGTTTCGAAGATGGTCTTGCTCAAGTTAGTGTTGTTTTCGTTTTCAGTTTTCATTGTTCGTTTTGAGTTGTGGGTTTTTTTAGAGTTTTGATGTTTTTTGTTGCAGGAATTTATGGAAATGTTGAAGTGCGATGTTTCACGACGGCTTGAAGAAGAAGAGGAATGATGATGTGGGTGTGTTTGTTGTTTATGAGGAGGATGTTTTTATAAAATTGTGTTGTACAAATAGCTTTTGACTCATGATTCTTGATAGGATTATTGCTTCTTCACATGTGCATCCGGTTGAAATAGAAGAAAAAACTAAATTATCACATATTTTCTTGTAATTGCTTTAATTGCCAAATGTTTCTGTTGCTCTTGCTCTTTTAGGGGTTGTTTAGTTTGATGGAATGGTTTTGAGGGGTTTGGATTGTGGAAGGATTTGGAATTTTGTTTATGATTTGTAGGATTTGGAATGTAACTGAATTTCATTCTTTATGATGTTATAAATATTTGCCTTTTTTTAAATTAATTGAATATTAAAATATAAATGTTTTTAACTTATTTTAAAACATTGTTACATACAAGTCTTGTGGAATCCTGTAAAATACTAACCATCTCTGTTGAATTTCGAAATTATATGTCTATGGAAATTCATGAAGTTTTGGGGGCATCTGGTTTGATGGATTTGGATTTCGTGAAAGAATTTGGAATATTTGATGTGTTTTATTTGATAGATTTGAAATGCAATGAAATTCCATTTTTTATAAAAATAATTAAGTTACGTTTTTATTATAGAATTATTTGAATTATTATAATTTAATACCCATATCAATATCTCTTTTAATGGGATTTTCAAATTTTCAATTAGACCATCCACATCCCTGCAATTCATTTACACTCTCAATTGTGCCATATCAGCTTTTGCAATTATCTTCCACACACCTGCAATTCACCTACAACACTTTCAACTGTGCCACGTCACCTACACTTTCAAAA